TAACATAACATAACATAACATCACGCCTTTTATCCCCGAAGGGGTAGGCAGAGGTGCACATTATGCCACTGTACAATGTAACACCCACTTTTCACTATTTATGTTATGAGTCCCATGTAATAGGGGGTGAGCCTATTGCCATATACCGGGCACAATTCCAGACTCCGTGCTACTACTGAGATTTTTTTTAAACCCAGTAATACTTTGCCCGACCCGGGAATCGAACCCGAGACCCCTTGCTCGGCAGTCGCACTTGCGACCACTCGGCCAACGAGGCAGAAGTAAATTGGAATAGAATTTGATTAATAGTCAAATCGGTAAAATATTTAAAATACCCTTTTTCAAAATTATTAATGGATCATATCCTGGACTGTTTATTAGGCAATCCATATATGCAATATAATTATTGACATATTAAATTGAATATAAAATATGTTTCGTCAAATAAGGATCTCGGTGAAGGTCGATTAAAGCGGGATCTTGGCTACTATTAGTGCTCCTGCTCCTGCGGCCCGAGCCGGAGCCCCGGCAACCCCTAAGCATTGAGCAAGCGTGGTGATTGATGCTCAAACTTTCTCAGTGTGAGAAGAGGCCTTTGGTCAGCAGTGGCCACTACAGAGGTAGGCTGTTGATGTGTGTGTGATGTGCATGAGCGGCTAAAGAGGATATGTTGGACAGAGTCGACAAAAAACTGCTGAAGGTAAATCTTCCGCTAACGTAGGTCACCGGTGACCTACGCGACGGTTAACGTGTTAAGGTGAATCACGTTGCCTGCCGATGTGGTTTTGTTGCTACTGTTAGTTATGATATACTGTTGTTCTTTGCTGCATTCTGACCATTGTTTCTGCTCTCAAGGATTATTAAAAATGTTATTATCAATTAAAAATCATTAACGTTATACGAGATTATTGTTTCTCTTTCTTAAGTAGGTACCGTCCGATGTCTCATGTGGCCCCGCCCACTGACCTTCACGCTTTCTTGACCATTGTTTGTTTTATTAACATTGCTGTCGCTTATTCTGAAATTAAACGATTTATTATAGCCGTATTTTTAACTACCGGCCCGAAACTTTTGCTTACATTGAACCTTTATGACTTCTGTGACATGCCCCCGAGAAATGACACGGCTTTAAAACTACACCTTGTATATACAAATAAATACACGAACTATTATTAGGTTTAAACTGTCAAACACCAAGCGGTCACCGGTGACCGCAACCTATTGTTCTATAATTGTGTCTACAAAACCGGTACTCGACGAGTTAAAGAATACCAATAAGTGATCCTCACGGCGACTGGTATTGTTATTATATTGCAGATTTGTGGTAAAGTTCAATATTTAGTTGGCACGTGTATAATAAAGAAAACTTGTCATGTTGTAGTATAAAGCCTCGTATTCACTTAGTTATATTTAAGGTAAAATTAATTATAATGTCATGTGTGTGTCGTGTTGTGCTACTCATAAGTTTGAGACTTTAGCGTGGCTTAAAACTGGTCCAGTTACCTTACCATGCAGATAAACCTTATTATTTAATATATCTCATAGAAGTTTTAATATAAAAAATATATTGCTCTAATTGAGGGTCCTGTATACGAATATAGGTATCTATAATCGTGGACCCGAGAAAATACGGCGCGTCGCGTTCCGCGCGCACCTCAAAGAGACACATCAGACTGGGCGCTCTGCCATTGCAGCGGTAAGTCCCCTCTTTGAGGAGTGGCTTGAGAGTCGCTACGGCGTCCTCACCTACCGCCTGACGCAGGTCCTCACCGGGCATGGAAGTTTCGGGAGGTACCTACTGTGTCTGATGGGGCGGGAGGAAACGCCCGGGTGTCATCACTGCGAGGACGGCCCTGAGGACACGGTGGAATACACAGTGGGAGAATGCCCTGCGTGGGCTGAGCACCGCCGTGTCCTCAGGGAAGTGATCGGCGATGGCGACCTCTCGCGTCCGGGCCTATTGCAGGCCATGATGCGGAGCGAGGGGGACTGGGATGCCGTTTCCTCCTTTTGCGAAGCAGTCAAGCTAAGGAGGAGGCGGGACGCGTGAGGCAGCGAAGCGCTGCCTCCTCGCAACCCAGCCATCGCGAAAGACACACCGGGCGTCGGGGATCGCGGGACGATCTCCGGACACCGAAAAAGAGGGCCTGCGGACGGCGAGCATGGGTGGCTCCCCGTCCGACCAGAAACAGACCCGAGCGTACGGCGCGTCGCGTTCCGCGCGCGCCTCAAAGAGCCATCAGACCACCACAGATGGGGCCCAATAGGACCGATGCCGATTCGGAGTCGCGAAGAACCTAAAGGGTAACCGGGGCTCCGGCTCGAAGTACTGGTTTTTAGTCAGTAAAGGCGCGGGCCCACCGCGGCGCATGCTGTGCACGGGCACGCGGCACATTTTAGCTGCGTGTAATAATTTGTTTGACAACGTGGTTCTACGTTTCCACTAGAGTACACAAATATGTACCACGACTACGTACAGCGTGACACGGTGCAGCTGGGTCTGCTCGGCCGCGGTATCTCTCCGGTCGAGCCCATTCGTGCCGAGTGCCGAAGCATGGCCCTCCCACACTTAAACTGACTGAAAACTGCGCTGCGATAAGTGAGCTGTACATAGTCGAGGGTCATATTCGTGTATTCCAGTGGAAATGTAGACCCACGTCGACAGCGTTGAGCTATGGAACCGCCTATTCGAGCAAGCCAGGCATGTGTCAATGACGTCAATTCATGCGTAGCCTCTCCGTGGGTTGCAGTGGACACAACCACTTACATTTTCTTCCAAAGCGAAGCTTAATACACGTGCGTAGCCTCTCCATGCACCGCAGTGGGCCCGCGCTTTAAGAGTCTGACACTCCCTCCCGCCTCACCCACGCGGGAGCAGTCATTCGATGATTTTCGCCCCATAAAAAAAAACATATAACGAAACTGTAGACGTGTAAATTTTGTACATTCATAAAATTTAAAAAATTAATAGTACTAGATGTATGTTTTTTATAATAACTATCGTGAAACATACTAAATTAATTAAAAATCGCGGGTTATTTACGTGAATATACGCGACATCGCCGCGACCGCGCACGCTGCTCATGAGGAAGAACCCCTCTGCGGTTCGAAACTAGTAGAGCTTTTCTCAGTATATTCACGTGAGTAACCCGCGATTTTTAGTTAAAAGTATGTACACCGAATCCAAAATGTGATTAAATTTTTTTTTATCTGTGTTTGTCTGAATGATTACCCATCACCCAAAAACTACTAGTCCGATCACGATGAAACTTGGTATGATTACACATTAATATCCTGGGCATCACATTGAGTACTTTTTATCCCTAAAAAGTATGTTCACTAAAACTAACTTAATTGTGCGGCTCAATCCCTAGACACAATGATTACTGTACCAAACACTTAAAAGTTTGTCGAATTTTAGGATGTGTGTCACTGCATGGGTGCCCACTGAAAATCAGTGCTGGGTGACTTGTATGCCTGGCTTATACTGAGTGAGTGGCCCTTTCAGCATAGGCATGTTGTCAGCGTCTCTCTTCTATTTCTTCTGGTTTAATTTTTCAACTCAATGTTTCTATTACTTCCACTGTCGCACCTTTATTGTCTTTCTTATACTTTATTTATACTGCATCGTGCCTGGTGCTGAATAAATGTTTTTTGTTTCTTTCTTTCTATACAAGAATAACTTCCTCTGTCTAATTCATTAATGAAAAAATCGTGACAAAACGTACATAATGTACGACCAAATTGTAAATATTAGACACGTTTGATACGTGTTGAAGTAAAATATCATTTGTTTCAAAACATTTTGGACGGAATGTAAGCGTAAGGGCACGTTCAGATAACAGGCGTTTGGCGTTTCCCCCACAATGCGAATTAAACGATTTGTAATCGTTTAATTCGCATTGTGGGGGATTCATACTTCGGCATGAATGATACCACGCCGTACGAGTGAGGTTACTGGAGACTCAATAGGGATGATGACAGGGTATGAAAATTACAAATCTAATTAGGTAATGAAAAAATATTAGACACGTATTTTTTTATTTTGATGTATAATAAAATGATACTTAGATATAACGAATCAAACTTTAGGAGTGGGGGCTAAAACGTCATTTCTACATATAAAATGTACCTACATAGAAGTGACGTCATTTCAAATCAATATATCATCGAAAGTATTCCGGACGTGCTCCACGAAGTTCCACCGACTGTCGAGGACGAGTCCCAGGTACTTTATCGTCGTCCCGACGCCGGTGAAGTAACCCCTCCTGCCGTTATTTGGGACGAAATTATGGATGGGACGATAATTGGGCGTCCAGCAACCTCACTCACATGGCAAAACGATGGCTTTACGCCGTTTTTCTGTGAGCTCCACTTGTTTTGCAAACGGCGGTTATGCGTTGTAACCGGGTTCTGCGCGTGTCATATGAACATGCCTTAAGCCACATTATAATCGATTGTTAGACGAGTATGTGTGACTCGAGTCTTTATATCAATTCTTATTTCATTTATTGTCAGTTCTTTAGTATCGAATGCATCTGTACAGTCGTCGGATGTGAACGTGAAAAAATAATATTTCAATTTTTGTTTTTCTTGATTTAAGATATGTGCTAGGTTTTATTTAAGTGATTTAATAATTGTGGTGGCATCTGTTATTTAAGGATTTTCTTTTTAAGGTAAGTTCGAAGATCAATCAGTAGATATTTATCATCATCAACAGTTCTTACAGTCCTCTGCTAGATTATGGGACTCCTCTAGATGAGAGGGTTTGCCATTATCATAGGAATATCTTATTAAATGTGGGAGAGCCGTGCTTCGGAACGAATGGGCCGTCTCAACTAGAGTGGTACCACGACCGAGCAGAAAACCGACGTGAAACAACGCTAGCGTTTTGTTTCGTCGTCTGAGTGAGGTTACGGGAAGCTCAATTACCTAACCTAACCTGGAGTGGGCCCCCCTCCAGTCTCCCCAATCCCAGAATCCCCAGAATACTTATTCCCAATTCCGAAATGGCCAGTAACGCACTTGTAACGCCTCTGGTGTTCCAGGCATCCGTAGGCGACGCCAATTGCTTACCATCAGGTGATCCGTCTGCTCGTTTACCGACTTATTCCTTAAAACCTTTTATAATCCTGATTGACCTTTTATAATGATGATTTTAGTTTCTACCAAATGTGTAATTCCTAACCTATTCGACTTTTATCAGCTCATATTAAAGATTATTTTTTCATATTAATACAAGTAATGGTAATTCTTTACTTAATTACAAGGTTAATTTTTCTATCTTTATTTATTGTAACACTAGTTTTTACCCGCGGCTTCGCTCGCGTCACAAAAGGATAAAAAGCCAATGTGACATTATACCAATACACACAGCGCCATCTATACCAATAATTCGTTTTCCCTCAAGAATATCAATGTTCCGGGATAAAAAGTACCCTATTATTTAATCCGGACTTCTAACTATACATCTTCAAAAATTCAAAGCAATCGGTTTAGTAGTTATGGCGTGAAACCGGAACAAACAAACAAACTCACTTTCTCCGATTTATAACATTAGTAAGGATTACATTACAGTATATATAGGCACAGTAACATTAGTCGGGTATTTTAATAGCCACAAATAAGTACGGGGCTAGTTTTTACCTTATTAATTGTAAAAATATAAAAACAATATTATAAAAGCTTTTAGAAATACTATACGTAGCGTCATCTATCTAAATCTTATAAGCTGTCTTCCAAGTATCGAAATTTGGGTCAATTTTCTTGTCAAAGTCTCTGAACTTTAGTTTTTTTTTTTTTCTTTCGAACAAGTGGTTCTAGTTGCGTATTTTTAGTTTTTTTTTTTTCAATAGGTTAGATGACTAATTTTATTTTAATGTCCGTCTGGTAGATTATTTTAAATCATTACACACGTATTTTTTATTTTCTTACAGAAACGAATACTTTCGACGATATATTGATTTGAAATGTCGTGTGACGTCACTTTTATGTACATTTTATACGTAGAAATGACGTTTTAGCCCCCACTCCTACGGTCTTATTAATAAAAATCTCCTATTCCAAACTTATTCACAGGATAGTCTTGGACTAGCTAATCCCGGACTAACAAAGTATTAACTTCAGAATTGAATTCCTATTAATAAACATGGAATAACCTCGGAATAACAATACTATCCTTATACTAGGTTTAATCCTTTTATTATGGTAACCCAGAAATTTTAAAAGTAAAAAGACTGAGAAGGAGGTATGAAATCGTAT